CTACTCGGACTCGTCTATGTGGAAGTCAAACAAGTAGAAGAGGAATATGATGCTCACTAGAGTGAAACGCATTGCATTGACAATTTGTGCAATTTTGTGCTGAAAGCCCTAAAAAGAAAAGGCAACGACGTATTTGGAGAAAGACATGGCTGAGTGAACGTGGCTACTAAGTTCTGTCAATTTTACAGAAAAAACTCAATTTCACTCGATCCCCTGCCATGCTTCTGTGTTTTCGCCTAAGAGGAGAAGAAGAGTTCTTCTTTGCGCATGCCCACAGAGCGATTTGCCCACGACCACCTTACGACGACCACGTGTACACCCGGCTTTAGTTCAATCTCTAACCTTATGCTCTCTCTTCTTTTTCTCATCATAGTAGCTTCATCTGGTCCATTCCTGTTTGGTTGTGACACCATCCTAGAGAGGGATATAGGCTGTGCTGATGCCTTTGTTTATACATGTTTGTGCTCTGCCTGTTTTTCAGTGGAGTCCCGTTTCTCTGACTGTGACTAACTGGATGTGCTCTTTTTATTCTCTTACATGGGAGCTGACTCGGAGCTCGTCTTCCTGGCTGTGTGTTTCCTGGATGGGCCGCTTGTGTAGCTCGTTGACAGTCAACTTTTGTATCTCTGCTTCTTTTTCTATTTCTGCTTCTGTCTCCTTGAACTCCAGTTGGCCTCAACAGATGATCGCTCACTCTGAGTCTGATTCTGCTGGAGGCTTCTTCCTGTTAAAAGGGAGTTTTTCCTCTCCACTGTTGCTACAAGCATGCTTGGTGTGAAGGATTACATTTGAGTCGATGCAATAAACTGGTTTTCTTTAGATAAAAAACTTTGAATCAATTTGACCGTATGATCTGGTTGTATTGTCTCTGTAAAATGTCCTTGAGATGACACGTGTTGGGAATCGTAAATTCTTTATTGTCCCACATTGGAGAAATTCACTGCCTGCATTTAACCCATCCCCTGTGGGAGTAGTGGGCTTCCGCTGTGCAGCGCCCGGGGAGCAATCTGGGGTTAAGGATCCTGCTCAAGTAGCCAGAGTGGCAGTCTGTGGGAGGACCCAAGCACATTGCTCTAACCACTAGACCACTAATCCACAATTGGCACTACATAAATAAACTGAATTGAATTGAATATCTTGCTGTATACTGGCGACCTATCCAAGGTGTACCCCGCCTCTTGCTGTAGACAGCTGGAGATAGGCACCAGCACCCCTCATGACCCCACTTGGAATTAAGTGTGTCAGAAAATGGATGGATGGATCTTGCTTTATAATTATGGTACACACAGGTGGTTTTTAATCCATCTAGCACGGTGACATGAAAAAATGGCGGTGATGTGACTTGAGGTCCTCTATTAATATTGGCTGTTACTTCAATTTGTTTGAAGATGCATCACTGCTTTCAGATGCCATGCCTTGAGATCATGTGATGCGCATCCATTGATTTGCTATCCATTGTTAATGTTTTTATTGATTAAGTAAGAATTTATTGGTGTTTCTTTTAATTTAGACTAATGTAACATTTGTTATCATTGTATAATTTTTTTTAATCATACATATAGAGGAAAACAAAGCAATAATGTCATAAAGAATATGACCCAAAAAATGGGCAGCACATATTGGCCATGATGATGGTTGATATTTACCAGACAGGATCCAGACTGTAGACTGAGTTCCAGCTTCCCTAAGATCCTCAGAGATCCAAGAGATTATGTTTTTTAATACAGTGTTAAATTTTTCAGTGTTTTTATTGATATTGATTAATAGAAAAGTTAGTTTTTATACAAAATGTAGACATCTGTTGTCATTCCAGACTCAATCTTCTCTTAGTTCTTCAATTCAACTGTAAATTAGTTTTAGTATTTATGTCTTGGATGCATAGTATCGCAACATTTTCTGGATACCATATTCCCAGATATTGCTTACTGGAAATTCGTTCCCTTTTCCAGTCGGTGTTACTCCTTGTGCTTTACAAAAGAAATGTCTTCAGGATTTCAAAATGTGTAATCTTTTCTTTCTTTTTAAAGTTTTGCTTTTGTCTAGGGCCGTCCAGTTGTATTGTTTAATCCAAAGACGTGATCCCCAACTTGTCTAGTTCTCCCTTAACTAAAATTAGATCTGACTGACTTTATTTATTTTAATATGCACTGATAGTTCTCATCATGTTGAATAAGATTTTATTCAATTTTCTGGTTAATTCAATTAATCATAAAACTAAATTAATCATAATTGCATGACAACAGGTTAAAATTAAAATTAAATAAAAATGTTAAATGTCTGTGCCCTTATGATATTTCTATGAATAAAAGCAGCAGTTTGCATTAGCTTGCACTCTGTTAATAAGTGATGTAGCTCATATAATCAGCTGTCTCCATCAGTGATAACAAATCAGAGTTCTGCCATAAACTGTGAAGTTAAACAGTAAAAATGACAAACACCAGGACTCTTCAGGATTACTGAGGACACATGAGGCTACTTCTACATATGGTTTCCTTCCAATGCTATGAAATGGGGTCATTTTTAAGTTTTCAATTTCTCATGGAAGACACTGTCCAGACTATTCCTGTTGTAGGGTTATCGCTAAAGGTTCTGTTACATTTTTTGTACTTTTGTGGGGAAATGGCAGAGGGGATTATACGCAAGCAGAGCTGCAGATTCGTTTTTTTTTTTTTTTATCTCCCTGATTCTGGAAGGTCTCCACATGACAAGCCGCTGAAACGGAAAGATCGGCTCTTATTTAGAAGTTTTATTTTGCAATGCTGGGAAAACTGCAGATAATAAAATAAAGTGGCAAATATGTGGGGTTTAAAACATTTGATACTTTTAGAGGTTTGGAATACTGTTAAAACCATAAATGATCCTGTTAATGTAATGAAGTAATAAACCACCAAATGAGCAGAGTTTGGAGGTGAATCAAACATTGTACAGCTCTGGTCAGACACTTTCATACACTCATAATATGAAGCATCCTTAAAGTATGAAATTAAATAAAAAACTTTAAGACTGAAATTTGTAGGCAACAAAACGGCTGCAACTTAGAAAGTATTGCAGATCTTCTCTGATCCACACTGGCTATAAATTATCCATATGGGCATCACAAATATACATACACACCCCAATATTAAAAAAAAAAATTAATATATGGATTAATTACAATAAGGCTGATGTATTTTATTGCAATTTCTTTCTAAGTATGATTATTTTGATAAGTGATAAGTTTGAAATACTAGACCTGAATGTTGCAAAAAATTTGCAGAAATGTGAACTTAATGTAAACTATAATGCATACCTCCATAAAGGTTATTATTTTAAGGAGGTACTTTTAATCCAAATAACAAGCATTAGTTGAATTTTTTATTATTTTATTTATTATTGTAATTTATTTAATGACTGTACACCAACAATATTTGGTGGGATGATGCCCTTAAAAATAAATCATATTAAATAATACATTATTATAATAAAGTAATACAATTTTCCAGGGACCGAGTCAGTGGCGGTTCTAGACCAAATGTATCAGGGGGCCAGGAGGGGGCCAGCGGGTTTTCATGGGGGCACAGAAAGCTATGAAATAAAAAAAAAAAAACAGGGCAAGGGATTCAAATATATAAATAGTGCTGCATGAAGTGAATTTTCTATTCAGTAAGTTAAATAAAAATTCCGTATCATTAGGTCAATATACATTCAGAATTTACGAATTTTACATATTTTGACTTAAGTTAAAATAACCGTTTTCAATAAAATCTGAATTAGAACTCAAGAAAATCATAAATTCAGCTGAGAAAATTAGAGCATTCTTTAAAATTTGTTTTTATAAAAACATTTAGCAGATGAAAACTGGGATCCTTTCTCAAAACCACCAAAGCTATCACCTTATTATTTTTAAATAATTAGTAAAACAGAATTTGTAAAGTAAAAAACAAGAATTAGATCCAAAGGACCCATCAGTAACAATGTCTGTTCCAGTGCATATCATCTTTAGAATTTCTTTTAAGTATTATGTCTTCAGTACATGGGCCAGGACATGATCTACAGGGGCTCTGGCCCCCGTTGGCCCCTGTCTAGAACCACCCATGGACAGAGTTAATATCCCAAGGCATAACTCTTGAATAATATCTGGCCATTTTAGTGGGGTGCTTTTAAACTCGTTGCTTTCTTGGAGTAAACCTGGATTTAAGGCATTTCTCATAAATTTCAAGTTCAGGTCAGATCTCTTCTAATTATCTTATTTCAATAGCAATATAATAATAAGCAAAATGAAATATTTCTTCTACTGGCTGATCATGTTAGTTAACTGCTCAAGGGAAAGTACTGGTATTATAAGTCATCATTGTTTGTAGTGCAGAAGGTTTATTGTATTGTGCCTCATCTACTTTAAAATTAGCTCTGATATGTCCTTTGGGAGGATTGTTCCAATTCTTTTAGTTGAAGAATTGCTGATCTGAAGTAAAGTTAAACATTTTGGATGGAGATTTACCCTATTTTCCCACCCACTAGTTTATTGTACTAGTAGCTACTGGTGCAATAAACAATTTAACTTTTTTAGCTGTGGGAGGAACCTAAAGTACCCAGAGAGAACAACACATGGACACAAAGATCAAGCAACTATATGCATAAAGAGCCTCAGAAAGGATTTAAACTAAAATATACTTGCTATGGGGTGTCTATAACAACAAATGTGTGGATCTTGAATTTCTTATTATAATATATGTTTAATATTAATATGTTCAAGTAGGTTGGAAATGGAAACATGTTTTTATAGTGTCTAACTTTGTACATAGCTGTTTAAAAAAAGGAACATTGTTTGGTTATTACGTAGGAGACAGGATGTCCTCACTTTATATGTATATAGGGAGTTATGTACCATGGGAATGTCCAACATGTGAGTAGAAACATACAGTTTTCCTGTTTTCTGTTTATTCTCTATACCTCTCTGGGGATCTGCGCACTCTGCGTTTTGTCGCCCCCTGGTGGTCAGCGATGATAACTCCATCACGATCAGACAGCGTAGGAACACAGTGCTCGGAACATACCGCCTCCTGTTGCTGCAACTCACTGTGGGATCTGCAGTCGACCTTTCGGGTTACACACATGAACGCAGAAAGCTCGCCGGCGCGTCTCCCCGCTATGCGCGACCAGGAGGACGGTCCGCGGAGTTTATCAGCACTGCGCCCCCGGCTCTGAGTCTGGAGCTGCTGGACAAACCCCGGGCTCGTCTTTGCGGGGGGAAAATTTATTTTTCTCTCTCTTTTATTTTTATTTATTTATTTTTTTGACCCAACTTGCCGGAGAATCCGCTGTGAACGAAGGGAGGAAGAAAGGAGGTGGTTTGTTTCGTCGCTGTCTTCTGAGAAAGTGTGAAACAAGTGAAGACAGAGAGCAACAGATGTTAGCGGTGAACATGCAGCCGGCGGAGGAATGAAAGCGGCAGCGAGGCACCGGCGGCCCTTCCAGCGGTTCTGCTGCTGTGGAATCGGGCTGCTCGCCGTCATTTGGCTCGCGCAGGTCATCCAGGCTCCAGGTGAGACCTTAATTAGGACGCACAGCTGCGTCCATACGCTGCAACTTCAGCTCAACTTCAATCTTTAAAGCAAATAAACTAATGAAATGTATAGAAAACGATAAAAAAAAACATCCAAACACTGGAAGTACATTTTGTGCTATTGCAATAATATTATTAATAGCAATATACTAATGTCTCCTTATTTTCTGAATGCATCTTTCTTCTCTTGTGCTTATTCCTTATATTGTTAGGTATTTTTTTATTAAAATATTTTTATTATCTAGATACATTTCTGGAAGATTTTTATAATTAACAACCACCCCTCCTATAAAAAAAAATATATACACACCTTAGAGGGAAGTTTATATCTCCCTTTCAGAACGTGTTAACATTTTAGCACATGACCCTATGCTGTCATAAGAGGGCTTTAAATTATTCCCCCCCCTCCCTCCCTCCTAGCACTGGTTTGGTGTTTAACCCCTTAAAATAATCCCTAACTTGCTGAGTTTAGATTTCATTTTTGATGCACTTCTGGATGACATATTTCTACATGTTCCCTTACATGACCGCAGCCCATGTCTGTCTGTCTGTCTGTCTGCGCTCCTTGGGTTGATTGACTGTGCTCACCCTGCAGGGAGGTGACAGATTGTTGATCATAACTGTGGCATGTGTAAATCCAATCACTGTGGGTGTGGGCTGGGCATTATCTTTAGCTCAGGGGACCAAGTGACAATGACTAGGCACGCTAAAGGCAATGGTGTAACTATCTGCAGACTGCAGTTGCTTAGGGCCCCCCGACCTCTTAGGGGCCCCGTCACTGACTCCTGGTAGGCCCCCTACGCAATTGTGGACTAGGACGTCTCTTTGCAGATGTAATGGTGCAAAAAAATCCTGTTTTACTCACCTGATGCTATCTTTCTATACCCCAAGATATGCCAGATTTCAACATGATGGTGAGCCGTTTAAACACGACACCAATAGCAAAGCAGACAGTTGTACTTTTAATTACTATGTTAATAACTGTGTGTAGTTCATTAAGATGGTTGGTAAAAAATACACTCATATAATATGTTTCAAACCGCAATAAAGATCTTAAAAGAACAATGTATTTGAGTATTTTATTTTTTTCCCAATGACTTGGAATTATGGGTAATCCAGGGCGTAGATTAAAACCATAACTGTTACGTACAATGTGTTAGCGAAGATGGATACCAAAAAGAGGTACTTAAGGAGATTCTAGAAAAGAAAAAGCAAAGAAGAGCTGCTGGAAGAACGGAAAAAACGTCGCTAAATAAACACGTTCTTTCAAAGAACCGAAGAGGCAGAGGTGGATGTCGCTGCTGCAGTGAGTAAAGATTGCGACCAGGAGATGAATGGAGAGAGCGTGGGTGAGGAGGGGAACACAAGGTAGCCCGATAAGACTCATTTAACCCTTATATTATGTTAAGGGTCAATTTGACCCATTTCAGTTTTTGTGTTGATCAAAGTACTGGTTATCTTTTTTTCTTCTTCATGAAATTTGGTGACTTTTCCTCATCTGGGGTCATGAACATGTATGTAAAATCTGGCCACTCTGATGTGTAGTGGAGTGTCTGTGCAGAGTATGTATACAAATATGATGTTATGGGTCATTTTGACCCGGACACTTCCATGTGGGTAAGTAGCCATTCAGATAAATAAAAATGGCTCTTTGATGTACTTTACTCCTTTCATTTGCCTCTGAGACCCAGACCCAGGTGTGGTAAGGGAGGGAACTTTCTTACACTAGTTCTTGTCACTGCTCTCACATCATCTATATGAAAAAACTCACCAAAAACTTAGCTCCTGAAGGATTACAGCTGAGTAGTCTTTTTCACAAATTTTGAACTTGGATAGTGATGTAGAGCAAGAGGTTTCTAAGGCAGAGGATATTTCAGAATCAGAAGACAAAGTTATTGTTGACCCACATGATCAATTCTCCTACTATGAGATGGACTCAGAGGAAGAGTCTTCTATTATCCCCCGAACAGATGAAGGCCCAGGAATGAGGCAATCATCTTCTGCAAGAGTGACAACATCACAACACCAGAGTTGATGCAGACTATCATCAGCTAATTTGATAAAAATTCCTGGTCCTACCAGATTTGCAATCACATGAATTGAAGAGATTCAGTCAGCATTGCTCAGAATGCCCATATCATAATATAGGCAACCTGAGGTGCAAAATCCAGCTATGCATGATATATGCAAGTATACTGTATACTGGAAAGCTATCTGGAGGAAAAGCTTAGAAGAATCAGGGAATGTGTTTCAGGCTGGAGATGAATGAAGGGCTGCAAGTCATAAAATCACTTGTGACAACCTCTATGTCCTACCTGTTTGGAGAAGAACTTCAGAAAAGAAAGCTGACAAGGTTGGGAACAAGGTTCTTATCATGAATATAATGCAAGCTGATACACTATATTGCCAAAAGTATTTGCTCACCTGCCTTGACTCACATATGAGCTTAAGTGACATCCCGTTCCTAATCCATAGGGTTCAATATGACGTCGGTCCACCCTTTGCAGCTAGAACAGCTTCAACTCTTCTGGGAAGGCTGTCCACAAGGTTTAGGAGTGTGTTTATGGGAATTTTTGACCATTCTTCCAGAAGCGCATTTGTGAGGTTGCACACTGATGTTGGACGAGAAGGCCTGGCTCTCAGTCTCCGCTCTAATTCATCCCAAAGGTGTTCTATCGGGTTGAGGTCAGGACTCTGTGCAGGCCAGTCAAGTTCATCCACACCAGACTCTGTCATCCATGTCTTTATGGACCTTGCTTTGTGCACTGGTGCACAGTCATGTTGGAAGAGGAAGGGGCCAGCTCCAAACTGTTCCCACAAAGTTGGGAGCATGGAATTGTCCAAAATGTCTTGGGATGCTGAAGCATTCAGAGTTCCTTTCACTGGAACTAAGGGGCCAAGCCCAGCTCCTGAAAAACAACCCCACACCATAATCCCCCCTCCAACAAACTTTACACTTGGCACAATGCAGTCAGACAAGTACCGTTCTCCTGGCAACCGCCAAACCCAGACCCGTCCATCAGATTGCCAGATGGAGAAGCGCGATTCGTCACTCCAGAGAACGCGTCTCCACTGCTCTAGAGTCCAGTGGCGGCGTGCTTTACACCACCGCATCCGACGCTTTGCATTGCACTTGGTGATGTATGGCTTGGATGCAGCTGCTCGACCATGGAAACCCATTCCATGAAGCTCTCTGCGCACTGTTCTTGAGCTAATCTGAAGGCCACATGAAGTTTGGAGGTCTGTAGTGATTGACTCTGCAGAAAGTTGGCGACCTCTTCGCACTATGCGCGTCAGCATCCGCTGACCCCGCTCCGTCAGTTTACGTGGCCTACCACTTCGTGGCTGAGTTGCTGTCGTTCCCAAACACTTCCATTTTCTTATAATACAGCTGACAGTTGACTGTGGAATATTTAGGAGCGAGGAAATTTCACGACTGGATTTGTTGCACAGGTGGCATCCTATCACAGTTCCACGCTGGAATTCACTGAGCTCCTGAGAGCGACCCATTCTTTCACAAATGTTTGTAAAAACAGTCTGCATGCCTAGGTGCTTGAATTTATACACCTGTGGCCATGGAAGTGATTGGAACACCTGATTCCAATAATTTGGATGGGTGAGCAAATACTTTTGGCAATATAGTGTATATCTCTGAGAACAAGAAAGGACTTGAAGGCACAAATGATCCTGGATTATAACTTAACCAGAGGAGTAGTTGACAATCTGGACAAAGTCACAGCAATATACAGCTGCCAGGGCAAGACTGCCCACTACCCAACCAACATAAAGTGGAGATGGGTGAAGAGAAGAGGAAAAGGTCCCAGCTCTGTTCCTCCAGAGAGGACAGTAAAACAAGTACATCTTGTGTAAAATGTATGAATTCCATCTGCAGAAAGCAATTACATTCTTCCCATCATGTGGAGAACTTTAAAATTGTTGAATGTTCAAAATATTAGTAACTAGCGAATTTTAAAGCTAAATTTCTAAAAAACAAAATTTGTGAAGAGGGAACATTTTAAACCTAAATAAAGTGTGTGAATTTAAAACTGTATGGTTTGTCACTTGACTTAATGTTTAAGTAATCTAAAATAAATTGGTTATTGGTTTAACCTGTTTTCTTGACTATTTTGCTTGTATTTACACAGTGCGGGTCAAAATGACCCGCAACATAATGAATGTAATTTTTTTTCAACATAATATAAGGGTTAACAGCAGAATATACTAAAGTATATCCATGTCTAGTGAAGGTGAAGAATGATGAAGTGTGTATGGTTGTACTTCCTATGGGGCCCACCCAGATAATGTTGCTTACAGGCCTATTGTTGGCCATTGGCTAAAAGCATATTTTTATCTCAACTAATTTTTTCTTTTAATTGTTCTTGAATTCACGATGTGGTTTGACGATTAAAAGAGCAGTGAAGATATATTTTTAAAGATATTTGTTGAGGATTTTCTCGATTTTTTTAAAAGACCCGCCCTCTCCCCTTTAAAAAAAAATGCGTGGGCGAAAATGTACACGAGGCCATTTCTCCTCGTGCACGCTCTGTTTAAAAGCTGCTGTTCTCATAGCTCATACAAGCTTACTGTGTCCGAACGTCCGCCCTAACCCCTAAATCCTTCAATCACAAATAGAGCGGGGACTATATAGTGGAATTTATGGTGAATTCAGTTAACTGACCATTTGGATAGATGATCACTTCCCCATTGGTCCACTTCGCGGTGCCTGCGCCATCTTTGTTATTAGTTGCTGCTGTTGGGCAGCAGCAGCCTATGATGACAGCGGGACGCTGTGACAGCAAATCCCATTTTTCTTTGCGAGGAGAGCTCTCCGTGCAAAGCATTCTGGGATATATCAGCCTCTTCTGAGGCCTTTTTTTTCATCTCATACACTTTGTAGACACTTTTTCTCTTATGACCCATTTTTAAAGAACGGCGATGAGAAAGGTGAGCTTCAATGACTGTCTGAAAACGTAGCTCTC